TCATGCTCTGTCTCTGTCTCTCTCTGTCCCAAAAATAAAAAAAAATAAAAAACGTTGAAAAAAAAAAATTAAAAAAAAAAATAAATTGTACCTTTATATAATGGACTGAAATCATACTATAGACTCCAGCTACTTTGTGTTTGTAGCTAGAGCATGTCTGTAGTTTTCATTTTCTTATTTTCCCCTAGATGCTTGGTATTTTAATGACCAGATCTATGTGGTATATAAACGTTGCCAAGGGACAAGAAAGATATTTAGAATTTAACAAAAAAAACCCATTTTATTCTGTGGTTTCCTAATATTTCATTTAATATATTGTCTGTATAAGGCAGAGATTGTTATAGGAAAAGAGGTAAAATATCCTATATGCCCCAGCCAGAGCATATCAGACATTGTTTTGTAGATTTATTCTGAGAACACTTTCATTTGAAAAGTTACTCAGTTTTTAACCTGATACTGGATGGGAAAATAATCCTTTGTCCTCCACCACCAAAGACCTGGAAATAAATCTTCCTTCTTTAAAAAATTAAAGCTTAAATATTCCCAAACTGTCTAACTGGCTGCATCTTGTAGATGTTGAAAACACAAAAGCAGGGTGTCAGCAAAGCTGTAAATACCTGAGAATAAAAGCATAGCGCCAATATGCATAAATAGAAATTCTGTCCAGACATGCTAGAGACTTAGGCAGAAACTACCAGAATCTGACTGACTTCAGTAATTTCAGCCATATACATTTTTTCCTTCTTATATAAACCATCAATGTTTTGGGGTTTTTTTTTCCTTTTTAAAGGGAATCATGGGGAGATTTTTACTCATTCTCCCTAAGCCTACTTAATATCAAACTGACATGTGGCTTAAGTGAATAGAATCTTCAATTTACTTTTTTGTTCTAGGACTACTGTTAGGTAGAGAGGCAACATTGAAAGCTTGTTAAGAAAACTCTAAAAGGACTTTAAGGGGAAAAAAAAAGGGTAAACACCAATGTATGCCCTCAGTTTCAGGCTCATTACCTATTTCATCATTATCTTTACAGCCTTGTAAAGAATGAAAAAAGTAGGAATAAAGATGTCAAAAGAAAATATCCACCTTCTAAAAGTCTAAGTCGGAAAGGAGAACAGTTCTGACATCTAAAAGGGAAAATAAGGTTTCAAATATAAGTTTTGTATCACAAGTTACTCTGGGTAGCGGTGAATTCTTAAATGTCAGACTCCTGCAACAGAAGAGTTGCCTACGCGTGGAGATAGGTAACAAATCAGAGTAAACTCTCAGAAAGACGGTGCGAGAGTGAGGAGCGAACTTATGTGACAGACATGACAGAAGATCCTATGTCCAGCTAACGGAAAAGTTGGGGTGCTGAAATTGGGTAAAAGAGTTATATGATCTCACACCACACAGGCTTCAGGATTGCTTAAGACTGCAACACAGTGTTATCAGAACCTAGTTTCTTTTCATCTCTCTGGTCTATCTTCCTTCGTGGAGGTTTCATCTTCAAGACACTGGTAATATAATGATTTAACCCAGCCATCACACCTTTATGAAATGATTAAAAAGGAAAAATGGAATCATTTCTTTCTGGTTTTCTTAAAAGCAAAAATTTTTTCGGTGACCTCCTCTCCCACCACCCCATCACCTACCTGGACCCCCTGCCCCCTTTTAGCTGACTGCTCTTCAGATCTCACCACCTAGAAGTGGGTCACCTACAGGCTCCTAAGCCAGTGACTGACATAGAGAATGGGCTTTCTGTGACTGAATTAATCAGTATCTACCCTAAACCTGGGGAGATCACCTTCCTCTGCATTACATGGGGGAAGAAGTGGATACAAATGCAAAATAGACTTTTCATTAGGAAAAAAAAGATGAAAACTGGGTAGGAAATCAAGGGTTTCCACTATTATAGATTCCCAAATGCAAAAGAGTTAAACACAGCAGCTGAATATAAAATACCTGGATCTGAAAACCTTACGCTAAGAAGGGTAAATACATTGTGTCCAATATTTAGAAAAGAAAAAGAATACTATACACAGTACGGTATACACGAAAGAATGCTGTAAACTGTGTACTGGAAGGTGCTGCGAATTGAGGTCAAGTGACAAAACACCACGGGTATACAACTTTATTCATAAAATATCAGGCGGGGCAGTAAGTGAAGATTTGCAGAGATGTGACGGGCTCCACAACAGTAGGCAAACAAAGGAGAATGCAGTCAACGACTAGCTTTTAAAAAAGGCAAGCAGTCACTTGAAAAAGCTTTCAGGGGTAGTATTTGCGGAAATCTCCCTGGGTATCTGCAATAGCAATAAAAACTTTGCTCTGTGACTGTGCAATGAAGTATAATGAATAGCTTTTCCCATTTATGCCTCTGGATTAGGTTTCTGTTATCAGTGGAACATATCTTGGCTTGGATTACATGAGTAAGCAAAATGGAGGTGAAGGCGGCATCATTATCAATATGTCATCTTTAGCAGGTAAGGACAGTTACTACATTAATAATAATTTCCTATTGGTAATTTGGACCACAAAAGTGAATCTTCAGAGGATGTTCATTATCAGTTCAGGTTTGGAATTGAAAATGTGCTTAATAGTTTTATTGTTACTGGCTCTATGGGATTTTCTATTGCATAATGTCAGAAGTTTGAAGTAAATGTTTATTTCTTTTAATTAATTAATTAATTAGAGGGTGCAAGTGAGTGAGGAACAGAGAGATAAAGAGAGGGAAAGAAAATCCCACTAGAGGGAGGGGGAGAGAGAGAGAGAGAGAGAGAGTGAGTGAGAAGCGGGACTCACCTGACTCGAGGCTCATGTTATACCCGACGTGGGACTCGAACTCACGAACTGTGAGATCATGACGTGAGCCGAAGTCAGATGCTTAATAACGTGGGACTCGAAGTCACGAACTGTGAGATCATGATGTGAGCCGAAGTCAGATGCTTAACAACTGAGCCACCCAGGCGCCTTATGTCTATGATTTTAAACTGTGACTTTTCAAGTTCCCTTACTGTGGCACTAAGCAGTAAGGCACGTGAAAGCATCTTTGACAGAGTCAAAAGTGCTAAAACACCATTAAGGTATCTCTACTCCCCTGTGACTTTAGAAAGAGAATAGAACTTAAAAACACGGCACATACAGTTGTTGGGATCTGTTGTGGGGGAAGCCAGATTTTACTTGTAGTTTCTCAGGGTCTCTGGCTGGGCCTGAGAATTAAATTGACCTAAGACAGATTTGCAGGAAAAAAGCTTGTGGATTTTTATATGTCCACGAGAACCCCTATGGGAAAACCGAGACCAAGGATAGCTAGGCCTAAGCGTTTATAAACAAGGTTGAAGGTTGAACGAAGAAAGGTAATTGTGGGAAAGTGACTAAAATATATGGGGGGCCTAAAGGAAGATAAGAGTTATTTTAACAAGGTCTGTATGGATTTCCGTTGGCCTCCACTCCCCATCTCTGGTGATAAGCATGTTTCTTTGCCACATGCTCTTGCCTAGGAAGGCCCTATTTTACATGGGAGTTGTAGCACCTGCTTTCAGGAGGAGGAGGAGAGGTCAGAGTACCCTTCTTGTACCTGCTGTTTTTTCAAGCGCCCTTAGGTCAAAATAACCCTTATGCCAGAGTGCCCCATTTGGGGTGAACTGTTCCGCCACCCATCAACGCTAAACTGCTATAGTAAATAGACCCAAACGTGTAATGGCTTAAATATAGTATAATCTTATTCCTCACTTATATATCAGCCCGGGGCAAGATCGTTGTTGCCAGGAACCTCTTCTATATGCAATCACTTGGAAAGTCAGGCTGGCAGAAACCCTTTGGCATGGAGCTTCCACAGTTAGGCTGGCAGCGGGGG